TCATGTTGCCTCTCATCGCTCTCTATAACGTTATATTTCATGTAGTTGAGCAGTTTCTGATCAAATCGGCGGTACATTACAAATGAACACGGTCTATACGCGAGATGTCAATCTATTCTCGAAATAGTTGATCATTAAGATACAAATCCATATATGAGCAAAAAGTGAATCAATTCCAAAATAACCACAGGATACTTCAAAATAGCTAGGTCTTTAAGCAGAAACCAACTATTTGAGCTGGAGGCCTATTGGGGGGTCAAGTGGTGTCAAGACTAGTGTTCATGTGGTTTTATACACACTTCTTGAATACATGCGTCCTCATTCGGTACAGTCCACGCCACATAAATAGACCCATACAGTTTTTCAGGCGCAACTTTTGACCTATCACAGTGCCGTAAAAACAAAAAGAAACAAATGATAGCTTATGATTGGCGGAATATTTTGACATACGACTTGCCGCCATCCGAGCTGTATGTCGTTCAAAATCGCATCAAATCTGAATTGCCTTCCTGGACACCCCGCCAGTTCAATAGACCCAACCGTGTTCAAGTGCGCTTCAGGTAAAGATACACACATCCAAGATATCTAGGGCCTAGTACATAACCTACACAACAACTAGAAACACAAAACACTCGTTAAACCTTAGTAAGGATGGGCTGCGGACCGCTTCTGACCGAGGTGGAAGTGGGCATGGTTTTGGCGCTCCGAGACCATGGTTTCACACACCGTGCCATTGCCGAGCACGTCGTAAGGTCCACCAAGGTTATACGAACGGTAATCGACCAGCGTGAGGGCTATGGGAGCAACTTCAAGAACCGAAAACCAGCCAAACTTATTGGGCGGAAACTTCGGCTCCTCATTCGAGAGGCATCCAAGACCGGGTTGTCTGCAAGAAGCCTAGCGACGAGCCTGGATATTGACGCCTCGTTGCGAACATGTCAGCGCAGGCTTCAAGGCTCTAAGAACATGGAGTACGTCAAGCGCAAACACATGCCCATGCTCAAGAAAAGCCACAAGATTGCTCGGTTGGAGCATGTGAAGAAGTACCTCAAGGATCCACCATTTTGGCCTGGAATTATATTGTCGGACGAGAAGCGATTCAACTTGGATGGCCCCGACGGTCTCCAGTATTACTGGCACGACTTACGCAAGGAACCGGATACCTATTTTACCCGCAGGTACGGAGGAGGTGGAGTGATGGTTTGGGGTGCATTTTCGTCCTCTGGTTTGAGTGAATTAGCATTTCTGACAGGCAACCAGAATTCAGTTTGTTATTGTGATACTCTTGGAAATTATCTGTTTCCATTTGCACATGAACATTATGGTCCAGAATTTGTTTTTATGCAAGATGGAGCTTCAATTCATACTTCGAAGTATATATACTACAGCATTTTTGAAGGACGAAAATGTCACCCTTTTTGACCACCCATCACTCTCTCCGGATTTGAATCCGATAGAAAACTTGAGGGGTATACTGGCACGTCAAGTTTACGCGAACGGGCTACAGTATCAGAGCATTCCAGCTCTCATCACCGCCATCAAGGCTACCTGGTCGGGAATTGGCCAAAACCTCTTAGACTCTCTTGTCAAGACCATGTCACGACGCTATGTGGCCGTGTGGGAAGCTAAGGGTGGTAAAACAGAGTATTGAAGAGAAATTTGGATTATAATATCTTGGTTTTGCTGCATTTTTCTAAATTGGGTCGAATCATCTGGCGCTGGTCAAATTTTGATGTTGTCCATAAATTATGAACCACAGCTCGTAGAATGTTAAATCGTACATCAATCGCTTTGCCTATTGATAGTTGAATGTTGTTTTCATCTCGGATAGTAGCTTAGGTGTTGATGCAAACACAATGCACACTCCTCCATGATGAATAGATATACTAGTAAGCAGTCATGTTGAGGATGTATGATCCCCGAAACCACCAGCAGGGCCATGACATTGTATTATAGAATGCTATTGCTGCTTGAGAGTACTCATCCTTTAGTGTTTGATATACTTAATGCTCCTCATATGCTTGCTGCAGTCTACGAGTATCAACGTGCATGCTCAAAATGCGTGGGAAATGACTTGCTTGGTCGAGCCCCGATCAATATACCTTATTGAGGAACATTTGTGTGTATAGAGGAAGGTAGCCTTGTCTTGGTTGTGAAGTACGCATCAATGCAACGACTTCGGCCCAGAAGAGGAGGAAGCAGAGCGGCATGCTCACGGCGTACAGCAGCAGGATCTTGCGCAACAGTGGGAGCAGCGGTTCGTTGGACATCATGTCCGTCTCGGCCCATTGACGCAACTCTGTGGCAGCGCGGATGGACAAGACACTCTTCGAGTCGCGTGGACAGTTTCAAGTTGGCTGCAAATCAAAAGTGGTAAAAAATGTGGTCGTGGTGAGAATCGAACTCACGCAGGGTATACTTTCGGTACAGTTACGTACCTAGACCTCTCGGCTATAATGCAAATACGTTTAAATAGAAAGGTCTACAGTATACGGGTATGTATGGAGCTCGACGACGACAACACCAACCAGTATTTTTATTGTATTTTTATATAATATCATTGGCTTCCAGGAGATCAAAAATACACGACCAAGCCTGACAGCCAATAAGAACACTACGTTGGATACCACATGGTTTGAATTATACGGATATGTATAATGAAACCAAGATAAAAAAGTTCAAGGAGGGAGGGCAATTAGGAGGGAGCAAAATCTCGAGTTTGGCCACTTGGTCGACAAAGACTTAGGTCTTTGTCGACCAAGTGGCTAATACAGTCCGCGCCACTCTATAATGTGACATCCATTATTTTGCGAATAAGTGTTGAGAAAATTTGAAATTGACTGTGAGTAAAAAAACATACCAAGCACCACTGTTTGACAGTGAATTATGTCGCGAAAACTAACTTGCACGTGGCGTACGTGAACACCGTTTACTTACGCTTTTATAGTTTAACGTGTGGGTTTAGGCACCGTTTTATATTATAACGCGCTCGAAATCCAATACGTTTTTCGTCATCCTCACTTTTGACTAGATCTCATCACCATTTCAAGCACCCAAACTGTCACTGCAAGGTTTTGGTTCATTCTTGGGCCTGTACATTGTGCTTCAACATGTGGTGTAGACGGTACAAAAATGGCATTTTAACGGAACATTATTAGGGAAATGATTACGCACATACAAGTGATCCCTCAACGTTTGCTCTCTTTTCCAAATATAAATTTTCCAAGTCAGCCTATTGTACAAAGAAACCACAAACATTAACTTTGAAGGGTGACTATCTGCTGGTCAAATAAATGCAAGCAAAAGCTGAAGTGAATGGCCCAAATTCCGAGGTAGAACCCCCGTATGGGCCCAGCAGTTGCGAATGGTCGTTGATGTGACGCAATTCCAGGCGGAAACCGACCAACGCATTGCCGTGAGCACGTCCACGGCGTACAAGTTTCTTGGTTCGCGACCGGACTCGACGGTAGGATCATCAATCATGTCAACAATATGATCCATTTGACGACGCTTGTAGTGGCTCTTGAACGCAGTACTCTCTAATCGAGTTCTTGTCGTGAATTGTCAACCGCTTGTTTTGCATGCTTTTAATTTTCAAACGATGCATGCATGTCATAAGGCCCCTAGTAAATTAATATCGAATAAAATTTAACGGAGTATAAATTTATACCAGGGAGCAAACGTTGAGGGATCACTGTAGCATCGTTTTAGGGTTTACCTTGGTGTAAAAGGGGGTTATTTGAGATAAAACGTGGTAAAAGGGGTTTAGGGTCAGGTTTTTTGGGACACCCATGGGGTTTTTATGCGCCGGGATTAGGGGTCAGGTTTTTGGGAAATACAGTTGGTGTGATATGATACCTGGTGACTTATATGTGTCATTAAAGCCTGGTTTGGGTGATATATTTGTGATATTTTTAACCGGAGATAAGGACATTAGACAGGGTGAATGAGGTCGAAATCCCGGGTTTAAGAATCTATGCGACATCGACGGCAATTTTGCAAGGGTGGTACCAGAGGACTGTAGGAGGGGTTTAGGTGCGTTGTGTTACTGTAGTGTGTCCGACGGTCGAGTCGAAGGTACAAGTTCGAGTCCCAGAGACGACGTCACTTGTTTACTAGTACTACTATAATACTACTAATGACACCCTTGTAACGCAATTGTCGCACAATGTACAGTTGGTGGCAAAAGTCTTCGTACCCCACATGATATTTTTCATCATTTGACTATAATTTTTGACATTTTGATGGGTTCGACAAGGTAAATACATTGCCATACAGATTAACATCTGCTCTATCTATAGGATGCTGATTGGGCACAAACGAATGAAAACTGAGCGTGAAAAAATGAAAACTGAGCGTGAAAAAATGAAAACAAAACATATGATACAAAAATTTCGATTCAAAAGTCTTCGTACCCATTGCCA